GCTTTCATACGTATTAGAAAGTACAGTGACCCACCTGAATGTTTCTCTCAGTACGCCATCCAAGTAAGGTAAGGACGCTCTGTCGTCGAAGTCTGGGAGTCGTTCGTGTCCAACCACCCTGTCAATCTCGTCCTGCGCTCTTCGTAGTACGTCGGGGTGTTTGACCATAGCTAGAATGAAGTTGATCAAGAACACGGACATCTGTGAAGAAGATGAGCAACGCTGTAATCACACTGGCTGCTATTCAAGCCCTCGCGTACTCACGGCATCTGTTCCGGCTGCCAATAGTTATGAGCCCAAGACCCCGATCTACACAGTGGAAAGCGTACCTCCATAGACGGTTGCAGCTGCTGTCTTGATGTCCTGAACATCACTGTCTGAGATTGGACCACGCTGAAGGTGCGTCTCAAGAAGATCAACCAGGAAGCAAGATGATGCCTTTCCCTTCGCCTAAAACATTTGAGATTAGCTTTCAATCGACACGATCAAGCTTATGAGGTAGGAAGACGAACCATGTCGGAAACCACTTTGTTGTAAGGCACATTCTTCAGTCGATCCACCAGGACACCCGTAGCCTTGGCTGTCCGTTTAAACCCCGAACCGGGTAGCCACATCGGCCAATGCTTCACTGAAAACTTCTAGATCAGATGTTTTTTGAGTCCAATGCATTAAGACGTGACGTACGTGTTGGGAAAAAGTCGAGAATGAGCCCGAACCCACTAAGCACACGCAAACCAAGTACATAATGAGTCAAACATAGCACTGTCATACTGATACTAGATGCAGCCTACCTGCCCGCAAGTGCAGTACCATGCATCGCTGCTTCACCAGCTTGAAGCAGAGGATCGTCATCAGTGACGACCTTATACGCGTATGCTACGTCAAGCAATACAGAGCCCCCAAAGCTAGATGAAAGATACGGCAAATGAGCCAACTGGCCGATTGAGAAAAGGCAAACTCCGTACCGAACAAGGTGCGATGTATACTCCTCTGGACGTGTCAAAAGCAAGTTGAGGAGCGTGTACGTCTCACGTCTTTGCAGAGGCTTCAGCCTGTTTGAGGCCACTTTCGAACTGAGGATCTCCTTGAACCAAGTACGAATCTTCTTGAATCTTTGATCGACATAAGTCAGCAAAGGTAACATCGTATCCCATCCAACCCTGAAAAGACGTATCACGTATCAGTCTTCTCTTCTTTCCTGCAAAATCAGACGCAGAACACTCACAGTTCTCTCATTGCCACAAACGCAGGCCTGTCCGAGTAGTTCCCGCTCCGTTTGACCAAGAGATCTTGAGCGGCGCCCACGCTATTCAGAATGATGACTGGGACACCAAAGAACCTGGCGAAGACTACATCGCCTATCCAAATCCCGGATGTTCAGCTGACCACTTTGAAATACGAAGGACGTGCTCACCGTATTCCTTCGCCCATTGAGAAAAAACCACCTCTTGGTTCTCAACAGGGAGTTGGTGTATGTTGCCGATGAAAGGGAGACCTGCCGGGCCGGGCGGAAGCGGTAGACGACTGCCTCGACGAGGCCTCTGCCAGATGATCACAAAGGAAATCAACGCTAATGCGATTAGTAGTAGCATCGCAGCTGCTGAAATGTCGGAATGCAAGGAAGGAGACATTTTGACTCGCAAGGTGAGGCATATCTTCGTATATATGCGTGCCAATTCACTACAGGGTAGGAGATATTCGCATCTGTCAACGTCCCACAGCCCTGTCGGAGGCTGGAGGCCTGAGGGGCTGAACCTTGTCCTTCGTCTAACCTAACGCGTTGGATGCGGTGAGTGTTTGTCATGGATCCCGAAGGTGAAGACTAGTAGACGAATTGAAACATCATGGAAAGGACGCGTCCTCGGTCTTCTTGAAAAGAAACAGCGCTGCAAACTCGAATACTGATAGCATTACACGCGAACGTCTGGTAGTAGATAAATATGGAACGTTGAAATGACACTAAAGATAAAAGGATAACATATGGATCTGCGCACTGCCAAGCCTCAAGCTACCTTGGTTAGCTCATGCATTTGGTTGATTAACTCCGCGGATTTCTGCGAGCGCGGGGTAATTCTGCAGCTGAACGATTTGGGGCGGCTAATGGATTCGAAACATAAGCGATTAGCGTTTCGTATACTTGACGGTATGTTTTCTACATAGGAACTCACTTTGTGACTCCCTGATAAAACTCCAGCGGCGGATCGATCTCTACCCCGTTATCGTCTTTCGCTCTAGCTACATCCATCGTGCTGATGATACACGCAGCGAGCAGGAAGCTGCTCGAATCCGCGAAATCTTTCCCGGGACAAACGCTGCACAAAGTTATGAGCATGACATTAAAGGAGAGAAGGCCTCAACTAGGAGAGAGCACAAGCGCACCGTCGACCAAAGCCAAACGCGAAGTCTTTGGGATCTACTTCGGTCTCGGGATTTGGACCAAGGAACCGCTCTGGGCGGAACTTCTCAGGTTCAAGGAACTTGGACTCGTCTTGGGACATGTTCCTATTGACCAGCCGAGCGCGTCAGTAAGAGATCGCGCGCGGCGCCGAAGGAAAGTGAGGTTGGGTTGGCATGATACGAACCAGACGTTTGGGATAACGACGGTACCTGCGGGAATGTGATATCCTCTGTACACGTCGTCTTGGAGTATTCTGTGCGGAAGGGCTATACACAAACGTATCAAATCTAACGTCTAGACTGCCGCACAAATGCTGCTCACCAAGCAGCAAAGGAGGATGCCATCTGTACGAGGATCCTCTGAGTGTCACGTTTATCCAAAGCAGAAGGTGTTGAACACTCACCGGTAGACCTCGAGCAGGAAGGCGTTCAAGTATGGCAGGGAGTCCCGGTCCTCGAATTCGGGAAGACGGTCATGGCCAACGACGCGGTCCAGTTCTTGTTGGGCTTTGTAGTATGCCTCCGGAAACTTGACCATTGCCATCATAAGCGTCATCAGAGTAACGGTCATCTGGGGAGCCGTCAATATCAGCGGCAGAATGAAAGGAAAGATATAAAAGTCGTACAGTGTCAGTGCCCGCTGTGTACATCGAGTGTCAGTTAAATGGATGCAGACTTCGTCAGAGCAATGGGGGCCTACCTCCGTAGACCGTCGCTGCAGCACTCTTGATATCAAATTCTTCTGCTTCTGGGATAGCACCCTTCTGCATGTACTTCTCCAGCAGGCTTTGAAGGAATGAAGAGGTCGTAACCCCCTTTTCCTGCAGAGAGCGTATGGTGAGACCGGAAGTGCGACGATCGAAAGATAAGCATACCATGTTTGAAAGAACCCACTTGAACGGAAGGTCGCGCATTTGATTCACTTGCGTTCGCGTCGCATTCGTGAGTGACTTGAGAGTCGAACCAGGCATCCAAGCAGGCCAATGCTTCACTGAAGCGAAAATCAGCGTACCGTAGGATGCATACCGGTTGAGGTGTGGAGACTTACAAATCGGAAGGAAGTCCAAAATTAGTCCGAAGCCACTACGGACAAATCGAGAGTGAGAAGAGCTCTAGCAACGCGCAATGAGGACGAGCACGTACTCGCCGGAACGCGCCGTGCCATTCATAGCCAGCGAAGCTATCTTCACCAGTTCATCATCAGGGCTGGTGACTTTATACCCATACGCAACATCGAGCATCATAGCAGCACCGTATCTACGAAAGTAAAATCAGCCGAGTAAGCCAGACTGCCTCTCGTTCTGAGATACTCACTGAGCAAATAGAGCCTCCCAGGCATCCGGATCCTTCAATATCCATGCCAAGTAGCCGTACGTCTCCCTCCTCGCGAGAGGTTTGAAGCCTTCCACGGCCGTCTTATTGGAAACGCCTGCGGAGAACCACGCCCGCATCTTGCGATATTGGCTGTCGTATTGCATGAGAGGGAGCATGCTTGTCCAGCCGATCCTACCGCGTTCTTATCGTTAGCACCTAGAAATATGCTGGGACACGGACGACGTGGACGTACAACTCTTTGAGAGCAATGAAGGGCGGACGATGGGAGTAGAGCGCGCTGCGCTTGATGAGGAGGTCTTCTGCCGCTTCGTAGCTGTTCAGGATGAGAGCGGGCGTGCCGAAGAACTTGACGAAGACGATGTCGCCTGTAATGCGACATAAGCAAGAACACTTCATAACATGAGATGAGGAACCCACCAAACTCCTTCCCCCACTTCGCAAAAAGAAGCTCCTGCCCCTCTAGAGGGAGTTGATGGATGTTGCCTATGAACGGAAGACCTTTGGGTCCTGGTGGAGTGGGCAATCGCTGGGCTGTTGTCCTAGTCCTCATCCACCAGATCAGAATGAGGGTGACAACGGCGAATGCGCATGACAAGTAAAAGTCGAAAACCATGGTGAGCAGAACGTGCGGTGAACAGAGTCCTAAGAGTGATAGCAGAGTCGTAGTAGGATACCAACCCGACTTAAGTAGCCGAGATGTCGCCTGGTAGTCAAGAGAGGTATGTCAGATTCCATAATGAAGCTATGCTGATGAGAAGCCCCTACCGACTGTGCTCTCGTTCAAAACGTCATCTTCAAGTCCAAACATCTTCATGGTGGCATTCCCAGCTACATATCAGGCCTATCTGGCTCGAACTTGTTGAGGACAACCACATCTCCACAAGGTTGCAAAAAGACCGGACTAGCCGGATGCGCTGAAACGTAGTGGACCAAGCCGGACACTTTTCATAATTATGGACAATTGTGTAGCTGCGGGAGCGAAGGCGTGTGAGTACCTCAAAAGGAATCCCAAGTCCCACCTCAGCAGAGCTAATTCAACCCGAACAACTCACCGGCAACCAGTACTAGTACTCCGACTCGCAATCTTCGTACCACTGTCAGCACAAGCTTCGTACTAGCTGTCTTAGTGCAGTCCGTTTCACGCGCGCCTGCGGTTGTTTGAGGAAGGTCGATCGTGGTGGGCCGGGCACCGCCACTGGCGTTGTGCGGTTTACCTGTCCACGTCAACATGTCAACAACTTCAGCCGTTTGCAGCGAAGACAAAAAAGCGTCACCTGAGCGATTCGAACACTCGCGTGCAAAGCACAACCGCTACGAGCCACAGAAGAATAGCAGGCGATCCCGTTAACCACTCCGGCAAAGTGACCTCGACGACCAACGCGTCTTTGATCGCACTGATGTCGTAACAGTCAGCTCAACGCATGAAAGACATAAGAATACAGCTACGCACCTTCTTGGTTGACCAGCTCCAAACTACGAACTTGTGAATATACTGGTCGATGCCTCGTGGTCGGAACGAAGAAAGACGAGGACGTGACGATGATGGCTGGCCAGAGGCAGGATCGGAGATCTCAGACACGTGCTTGCCGATGCAGCCGATCTTATCTGATCACTGCTTTGCTTGGCGCCTATTTCTGGCTCGGTCCCGATCGCCGAGTCGTCGCTCTCGTTGTCAGACCTGTGCAGACATTGATAACTTAGAAACAACCAGGTGGACATACCTCTCTCGAAATGATAGCAAGGCCATAAAGAAGGTCATGAAATACAACATGGAGTTGATGATGCTTAAGTACATAGGTGACGGCAATGGCGCACGTCTTGGATGAGAGATACTGCTTACGGTGAACTAAACCTACAACGTACTCGTAAAGCTACCAAGCGATCGTGAGGATGGGGCAGAGGGGGGCAGAGGGTGAACAGTGTTGAGTGACGAACGATAGGCAAAGGTAAGAGGAGATGAAGAGTGGTTGAAAAGAAGAAAGCGAGCAGAGATGATTCAATGGCTGAGAATGGCGTGTTCCGAGTGCAGCAAAGTAACAGCGACGAAAACGAAAGCAAACAAAAAACTTCCCCCACTCGACTGGTCCCATCCGGACCTGACCTGAGCTTGACCACCCTTATGTGTCGCCTCCAGACCCTCCACCCGCAGCGTCGAGGATGAGACCGGATAATTAAGGCCCGATCCCAATCCTCGGGCTGATGATGTCCTGCTCCCCCCAGCGTGCAGCAAGGCCCTGCCATCCGAACATCTCGCTTGGAGCGATGGCGATGGCGGCAGAAAAGCTTCAATCCTCCGCTGCCGCTTCTTCCGCTGCGTAGAAGTTTTGCAACCACCTCTTCGCAACGGCGTATTCAACCTTCACTTGTGGGAGCAGCACCTCCAATTGAGCGAGTGCTTCCGGTTGCGGGATCGTCTTGTCCCCTTCTTGCAATTTGCCCAGGTTCTGGATCATCTCGCACGACGCTTGGACTTTGGAGATTCCCAGCGCTGCGGATGAGCCCTTGAGGAAGTGACCCCGTTTCGACAGCTCATCGAGGTCGTCCTTGTTGCTACAAAGCCATACACACTCAATCCATCGTCCTCGGAAATAAGCCAGAGACACTCACAACGCCTCCTGCATGTCATCAAACGTCTTCTCCGCCTGCTTGAAATACTCCTTCACCATCTCGTGTGAGAACTCGCGGGTCTCCCCGTCGTCCAACTCCAGGATCTGCTCAAACGTCTCCATGTCGATCACATCTTCCTCCGGCAACGGTTCAGGCGCAGCAGCAGGTGGCTCCTGGGACTGGATCATCATGGAGAGGTGGGTATCAGCATACGGCGTATAAGGTGAATGAAGAGCGTAGCCGAGGTGGGAGGCTGAGGGAAAGGAAGAAGCGACGTGGGTAGACATGTGTCACGCCGCCGGAATACACCACACCGAACGAGATTGCCCGAGCGAGCAGTAGAGGAAGGAGAGGATGTCGTCGTCGTCGACGGCGACGAAAGCTCGAGCTCAAAAGATGCAGCAACAAGCCTGAGCCTGAGACATCCGCGCACGACGGGGAGCACCGCATAAAGCCCTCAGATCCTCCCCTTCCCACCCACTACGCCCGCCCACCTGGTCCCTCTCATCCACTCCTCCAACAACGGCAACTCGACTGCCCTCATCTGGCTGATCCGACCCATCCGAAAGAGGCTCACCTTTTTCTCAGCAGCAGCGACCGGCTTCACCGAACCCTCTCTTTCCCTGAAAAGCTCCTTCTCCGGAGGGAGTACGGCCTTGCTAGCCGGCACAGGCGAGAGGAGGGCGGATGCGATGGATTTGGGCGAGGGCTCGCGGTCGCGGTCGCCTCGACCATTGGGTATGGGCGACGTGTGACGAAAGGAGATCGGCTCCTTCGTGGCTACGTGCGCGGGAGACCTGGGTGCTTGGGAGGTTGCGCGGGAGAACGACATGGCTGGCTTTTGTGCGATGGAGGATGGGAGGGTTGTCGCACGTAGATATAGACGGCAACTTTATCGATGAGGCACCGTCAGAGCTCGTCCACGGAAGGCGATGGGCGGATCGTTTGGACCACAATCGGCAGCGAGGATGCAGGAGCTGGAAGAACAGCAGAAATCAGACACGACGAAGGTCGAAAGTCAATCTGCGGGCCGTGGAAGGAGGATGGAGATGATGGACGTCGGTGGGAGAGGACGGAAGGAGGTATTTGAGGCGAGGAGCTGGGATTCTGGTGCAGTCCGGAGCCTGCGTGGATTACGAATGGCTGCTCGGCGACACTTCTGATCTCTTTCTCCACGCTCGAGACCTCTCAATTCTGTGTTTTTGCGTCCGCACCGTTCGTCATTCTGCTCCAATTTAGTCTTCAGCATCTCCAGCGCGGCAGCGGATAAAACACAGCCAGCTGCAGCCGTGGCTTCGGCATGCGATTCATTTTCAGGTTCTTGAGAAAATTTACCTGCTCATGTCGTGCTAGTCGTGTGCGAGGTAGCTGCGACATACACAGTGTACGAAAGACTTGGAGAGCATGTGAGCAAGGGCATCGATCGAGGATCCAAATAATCGCATCGGCTGAACGGTTTACGCCTAGTGTTAGTCGCAAATAACCAACCTTCCTTTGACAAAAGGCGCATCGCCGGATGATCTTCACGATTCACGAGCTCGTACGAACAAACAGCGAGCATTCTGAGTCAAAGCAACAGAAGTAATACTCACTTGGCCTCTGACGTCAGTTGTTTATAGCCTCGGATGAACAAACAGTCGGCACGCGAGAACACTCTTCCGAACGCCTTCAGTGCAGCTGTCGATCGACGCCAGGATCTCGCAGCCGAAAGCAACTTCGTTGAATCGTTCGAGCAAAAATCGTGCATCTTGACAATCACGATAGCTCAAAGGGTCCAACGATGAGTAAGGGTATGTATTACGAGGACATACTAGTAGCTCTGTCAACTGCTCAACTGATTGTGTACGAGTCCATACTAGTCTAAAAGCCAAAGGAGCCCGAGCTTCCTTCAGTGCGTAAAACGAGGGTATGAAGATCGAGTCCAAGAAGAGTACAATGCTTCTCTTTCAGAAAGAGAGACACGGGTATGAAGACAATCCCTTGATAGTCTTATAAAGACACCTCCGCTGAGCCAACCTTGATGAAGATGCCGGAGCTCTCAAAAACGCACACTATCAGCACCTCAACAAAGGGAAAAACAAAGAATCGAGCTCACAATTAGCGGTAGCGTTGACAAAGTTCTCATTCAAGCTGAACAAAAACGCCATCGCGTCCTGCCTAAAAGTGTCGTTGATGATCTGCTGGGGCATCGTCCCGTCGACGAGAGCGAGCATCTGCGGGTTCGACGCAGAGTATTTGGGCCACTGCAGGACGGTCTTGCCGTTGGGTTTGAGGTGGTTGACGAAGTTGACTACGATGTCGGTGAGATCGGTTCCGCCGTAGGCGAGGCTGATGTCGCTGGTGTGCAACTGGAAGTGTGCGATCAGTGTCTGCTGGAGAAGAAGTGAAACGGGTGTTGGAAGCTCACCGAGCCAAGGACGGGAGTCATCTTTCCTCGCTGAATCTCTACAGTAAATCAAATATCATCAGTATCGGAAATCCATTCGCAAACACCATCAAGACGTACGCAGTGCCCAACTATCTTGCTTCCCAGCGGTCTCCTGCATGAAAGCACGTCTCGGAGCTTGGAAGACGAAGTCACCGAGGAAAGCGGCCATACGCTTGAACTGAGGCGTGATAGCGTTCTGAGTTCCGGTGTTGAAGGGAGAGCCTTGAGTCGGGTCGGATGGGTATAGTTGGAGAACTTGATCGACCTGGGCACTCGTGGCATTAGGGAGGAAGAAAGTCGTAATGTAGTTGCGGAAGCCAGCGTCGTCCCTGTGGGGGTAGATATCAATGAGTTGGTGAAACGCGGATTCAGAGAGACGTACGTAACATTCAATGAGGACAAACCGAAGATAGTTCCTTCATCGTCAACATCCTGATAAATCGGGAGAGGTTCAGCACGTTTAACGAGTAAGTCCAATCGTACGTACCGCTCCGATGAAAGGCACCCTCGCGATGCTACCATTGGCAGCCAAGCGACCAGGAAGATCCGTAATGAACTTGCCATCCACACGAGGCTGCCACGCCAGATGAAGCGACTGCCAGCAACACAATCAGTCTTACTATCAACCAAGGACCACCTAGTGTATCACTCACGCCATTCGCAAATAACCCAGGCGTCGCGCTCATCGCACTGCTGATCTGAGCAGCAGGCACTTGACGCAAGCAATCCAAAGTATCGGTAGAGTTCGTGCATCCAGTCTTATTGACGAGACCGTCGTACAAAGATTGAGCGAGGATGGGATCGTCGCTGAGGGAGTTGGGAGAGCCGGATTGCATGACCGCGCCACGGAAGAGGCCCTCTGCGTTACCGCCGTTGACTACGAGGTGGTATGCAACCGAGAGGGCTCCGGCAGACTCGCCCCAGCTGGAGTACGAAAAATTTGGTGAGTCGGGATGCAGAGGTGGAAGAGTGGATGGACGTACATAGTGACCTTGGTTGGGTCACCACCGAAGAGATGGACGTATTTTTGGACCCAACGAAGGGCGAGGCGTTCTGGGATCGAAGTCAGTGACCGAGCTTGGGCGGAACATCGCTAGGTACTCACGGTCTTGCAGACCTAAGTTACCGACACCTGCCTCATTGACTTCCTTAGAGGACAGGAAGCCGAAGGCTATGTGCATCATGTCAGATCTAGGCCATGAGTTCAAGAGAACTTCGAACATACCTGAAAGCCTGTAGTTCATGCTGACGTAGACGACGGGCTCTCCAATAGCAATGGAGCGTTGGACGATGGCATTACCATTGTACCTGCGCAGAAGAATTTTGGGCCA